ACTTTCTTTTTAGACTGTCTCACTGTAAGATTAGCTTGAGGTCAAATAAAATCATATATATATATAAATACGTAAATATATATATACACACACACATCTATAGTTTTAAAAAAATCTATGGGTTGTCATAAAGTGTAAGGTGTATTGTTATTTATCCTTCATTTTAAAATCCAGAACAATAATAACACTAATAGGATTTTATACATATAAAATCTTATACATAGATTTTATCCATATATATATATATATATATATATATATATATATATATATTTCCCAATGTCAGGAAGTAAAATATTTCCTCCTTGAGAAATAACACTTTCCAGATTGAAAAAAAATTAGGAATTTTTGTGACAGCTTTATGGAAACTTCATCCTATGACAACGCTAAAATACATCAAATATATACAAATTATGCATCATCTTATCACTTAAGAAACACAAAAACTGTAAGAATATGACTCATATCTTTGTCAATCTCAGGATGAAAATTTAAAGTAAGAGAGAAAACCTATAAAACTAAAGAATTATTTAAAATCAACTTACAAGCTTGCTACCAATTCAAAACAAGAAAAGCCAATGAGAATCACAGTTGAGTCACCTCACTCATTTTCGCAAATATAGGCAAAGGTCAAATACTATTTAATTCTAGTATTTCTTTACTAAGAACTTTGCAGGTCAAGTCATCTGAATTTTATCTTTAGCGTGTTTAAGATTATTATATTAGTCCAATGTAAACTCTTAGAATGCCCTTTTAGGACTTCATGATCCTGGAAGAGAAAACGTGCATAAATATTTAAACATAGTTGAATTAAACAAAAAATATTATGTTATTTAGTACACTTAAATTCAGTGAGTTTTTATCAAGTACCTACTTTATATGTGGAAAATCCTGCAGAGCCTACTAAGTTTAGTGTCACATTTTCAATGTATTTAAATTAACTAAACAGCTTTATTTTACATATGCTTTTACAAGTACTTTGTAAAGTACTGCTCATTTTGGATACTTAAGAGTCCACAAATAAATCGTCCACACAGAATTCATATTTAACTTAAAAAAGAACAGCTTTTTCATCATTACTAGAGCATAATATTGATTCTATTTGTGATTTTTACCTTTTCAATCCATTATCTATTAAACAACTGAATAAAATGATTCTAGCTAGAAAAAGAGAACAAGGTAAAAAATATCACTCTTTAAAACAAGAAAAATGTTAATCAATTAGTCCTTTCTATCAAAATTTAAAAAGTTGAAAATAGTCTATAAAATTCTATTATTATTTCATCAAGGTGATAATACATGTGTACTTGATCCATTCTATTGGTACTTCCTATTGCCATCTGAGATTTAAATGACTCATTTCAGAATCTGAATATTTCTGGATTATATTGGACAGGGACTGCATTTTTAAAGGGCTGATTCTTTTACAGGATTTCCAATGTAGCTGAATTAAACTAATAATCAAAATGACTAAAATATATTTATCTTTTGCAAAATTTGGAGATGGACTAATTTAGCATTTTCATTATTACTTCCGGTCAAACTGAACATATATCATCCCCCAAGCCAAAATATTTCTATCCATTAACTATTGAAAAATATGAGAAAGCAGTCAACTTTTGAGTTATTTCAAATTGTTTTGTGTTGCACATATCCAATTAAACTAGCATTTTTGTTTGCAAAGGTAACTATTTTGTTATTTACCTGTGATGCAACAGTATGACATTTTAATTAAAGAAGGTTGCCTATATTAAATTTATTTTTTAAATGTCCATTGTGTCATACTTCATATTTCGGATACGTCGCAACAAAAATGTATACTTGTAATTACATCTTGAAATTTGACTACAAGGGCTATTACACTCACTTTTTTTTGTTATTGTAATAGGTCATAATTTTGTATTATCTGTATTTCACATAATTTTAGTTTAATATTCATCGAAGTGTGACTTTCCAACAATAGAATAATTGAAATAAACTGTAAGCCAAAATTGTTCCCTCCTCAGGAATGTGGGATTTATACCCAAAATTTTAAGTTTCAATTAATCAGGTTTAGACTTATGAGTATGTAAACTCTATACATAGAATAGTTTATCTTACCATAGTATTCTTAGAGCACTAATTTAGTTTTGAGGCAGATGAACCAGCATTAAATAAGTTGTCCCCTAGATAACTAACATGCTTTATTCTTTGTCTTTTTTTTTTGAGTATACATTCCACAAAATAATTACACATATACTGTTTAATGGCCCTTATTCACAGAAAGACCAGATCCTGCAGTTTCACAAGGAACCACTGTAGAAAAATCATGACTAAAATAAACTTAACCAGTCACATATTATGTCTTTATATTTAATCTAACATTACAAATTTAAAAATCCAGTCCATCTCATGGTGAGGAGTAAGTTTCATGTAAATTCTCTAGAATATTAAATTTCAAGACCTATTTTTACCCTTTTGTACTCAAAGGCATAGAGCTTGATAAATGAGGCTGCCTTATGTTTACTGCTTACGTTTTACCTTTAATTAGATTGGAAAATCACGAGTCAGTACGGTCCTGGTCAGTCCATTCAACAAACACCAATCACCTGACCCACACTCTGACTGTTGATTTTTTCCCCAAATTCTGCTTAGATTTGCCTTAAGGATGTTCAGCATACTCATTTGTCAAATTAACTTTCCTTTTCTCTGCTAACAAATGTTTTCTCCTTATTTACAATTTGTTTTCTCAAAAAAAATTTTAAACATACGCAAAATCAATTGTATGTGATTGTAACAAATATTAGATCACTAAGACTGCATTTTACTTGGATTCCAAATAAACAGACTTAAAGTTTACTCTTGTCAATTTTCTCAATCCTTATATGTTAAAGAACAGCATACTCTATGTTTCATATTTTTTCTACTTTTTAATTCTGTATGCAACTTGCTAATACTTACCATGTTTACAAGTCCTTTACCAGTAACACTTGATTTCACATATATTTTTATTACATAAATAAAGTAATACTAGTTACAATTATCCCAAATGAGGTTAACAAACAAAAAGGAGGAAAAGAGGATTAGCCTCATATAGTTTACAATGGAAGTCACAATACAAACTTTAGAATATTTAAGATCTTAATTTGTAAAAATGAATCAAAATAAAACAGATATATCTGCCACTTGTAAGGAAATCTCTCAAAAGTTAATAATAATAATATTTTAAAATAATTACTATTGATAAAGTACTTTCACATGTATTTGGATCATAGATTACTTTTAAAGGTAGTACGATTTGTACTGACGGAATCTTAGGAGAGACATGAAACAAATACTTAAATAAACAAATAATATTTAGGTATTAACAAGAATGCTTTCCTTAGAACTACTCAGAATGCTGACATCCCTTTTAAAACTCAGAACATAAAACTAATAACGGAGGAATTTTACCAAAAGGACTACCCACAAACCTTGTTCTAATTTATGTGTACTTCTGATTAAAAATAACTCCCTTTTGCTTTAATGCAATATTGATTTTATCACCAAATATGTCAAGAGATTTTTAAAAATTAAATAGCAACTCATAGAATCTATAGCCTTCCTGAAAAACAGTATAATTCTACACTTTGCAAAAGTGACACATGCTTCAAGCTCCTCATGAAACTAAGTTCTAAAAAGAATTAACAGTTAAAGAGACACCAAAAATTAAGAAAAATTAATCATGTTATCTGCTAGATGAATTAACAGCCGACACACACAAATTAAATAATTTAAGTTGATGAAACAGATGTCCTCCAGACAAATTTTAAAACATTGTTTTCAATTTCACTAGTTTCTTTGTTCAGTACACTTTCTTGTACTGAAAGAATTTTAAATAAAAATGTACCCAGCTTCATACGATAAAAAGGCTTTACAATTCAGCTTGAACATTTTATTAACTGTGAAAACATGCAAAATTTTATGTAGAAACTATTCCTGCTTCTTAAAAAATCTATAGTCATTACCTGAATTTATTAATTGAGAACATTGATAAATTAGCATATAAATGTGAGGAGGTATTTGAAACATGCACTTCCTTCCAGAAGGAAAAGGCAATACAACTGCTATTGACTGATCATGTTTCAATGTGTTTTAAACTAATATGCAGAGTTGATTGTATTTTTTTTTACGTTAAATTATACATTATCCTGGTGAGAGTAGAAGGAATTGTACAACTGCTTTCTTATGGCATTAGGTGAGCTCACCTGTTTAGTTTCATTGTGTGGGACAGTAGATAAAGCTGGGTTGGTTGGTGAATTCAGGTGGATGGGAGCCTAATGTGATTTGGCATCGAGGTAAGGATTCATGGAGTTATATCCACAGGATATATGCATTACGTGATAGTAAGAGGCATTTACAACCCAGAATATAAGGGCAGGGCAGCCTCAAGTGACATCACCGGATCATCTGCAGCGTCAACCAACCGACTCAAATATATATCCTCCACACCACTACTCCCCTCTTTTTCTCACTACTAGCAAGCCTTCCATGGCCTTCATCAATGTAAAAGAGCATGTGTCTTCTTTAAATGCAAGACCTATGCTTACTCAAGTGAAAAGCAAATAAGAAAAACCAAAGCAACAGAATAAAAAACTAGCTTGAGCACAATTTTCACTAAATTGACATTCAGATGATAGGAATAACACTTAAATGTTAAAGGAGAATTTAACTTGGATGATCCAGACAGCTAATGAATAAAAGAGGAAGTCAGGAAGAAGCAAAGAGAGGGAAGAGAAGAAAGAAAAGAAAAATAAATTAAAGAAATTAAAGAAAAGAAGTAAATTAAAGAAAACAAAAGAAACCAGCTAAATATCCCTGAGATGAAGTCTTGTTTTTAACTCTGATTTGTCCTGAAACCAGGCAACTGTGGGAATCTTGAAATTCTTTCTAAAAAAAATTAAATAATAACAAAGAGGAAGAGGACTCTATTGCTTGGTTTTAATTCTCTTCTCATTTTTCATAACTTATGTTTTACTTACAGGCATTTGTTACAGCAAAACTGTTGGCTGTCTCAATGTTGTCCACATGAGGTACCAAATTAAAAGGAGCTTCCGACGCATTGGGGCTGGTGTTATGAAGAAAAATTGCTAATCGAAAAGCAGTGTATTCCTGATCTGTGTTTCGGATGAAGAGGCCACCTATTAAAAACAGCAGGAAAAGCACATTCAGTGTTTCCTCTTGTAAACATTATACCCACCCCAAGCACAGTCAAATCTACTGCCATTCACAAGCACATACAATTAAAGAGCTATACTTGCCACATCTAGGGAGACTGCCCTTTGTCCCTAAGGTGCATGCTTAGTAGTGTTTAGAGCAGCTTAGCTTTTTCTTGTCCCAATGTGTCATGATCACAATGACCTCTGAGACCATTTAGTGTATGTTCCTTTCTCTCCCTTGCCCTCCCCGTGATTCCCAGCACACTGCTACATCAGCCACCTCAAGGCATCTCTCTCTAAGATGCATGCAGATGAGCAGAAAAGAGATTTACATTAAAATACGGAAATGAAGGGATATAGTGCCACACAGGGAAGAGGGAAATCAGAAAGAAGAAATGAACTTTATTTTCCTGCAGCTCGTGGACTCAGCCTAATTAACTCCGTTTTGTGCACAATCCACGAGAAATGATGCAGTGTTGAGGCTGGGCTTAGCTGGAAGAAATTCAATAGCTGCGTCCCATTAAAAGACAGTAGAGGAGAATAGCAAGAAAAGCCAAGGATGGGAGGGTGTCCCTGGAAATAGAGTCGAGGTAGAGAAATAAGGGCAAAAGCTTCAAGAAGAAAACAAAATAAAAGGGGAGAAGCTTCCTGGAAAGGGATCTAACTTTGGAATCTGCTAACCGGTAGCAAGAAAAGGCAGGGAGTACGGGTGGAAATGTCTTTTTCCCCAAACAGTGTCTTTCTGTAAAATAGCAAGAAAGCTGCGGCGTCCAGAATGGGAAGAAGTGGATTTTTTTTTCTTTTTTAAACAAACTCGACATCACTTTATGCTTTAGAGAAAGAGATGAAAATAAATATCATACAAAATACAACCAAATTCCCCGAAAGCTTTCCCCCAACTTATTTCAATCCTACTTAAGCGACTATAGCCAAAGGTGGAAATAGGGTTATGGGTTGAGAACGGAAGGGTGGGCTGTCCTGGGTGTATTCCAAAGGAACCCGCACTAAAAAGGAAGTCTTTTTGTAAAGGAGAGGAAGGAAGAAGAGGGAAACAGAGGGGAAGGAAACTGCTGAAGGTTTCCCTGAATTGCTTATCAGCAACTCATTTAACTCACTTTCGGATATCTGCTACAACTAGCCGCATGCACACCCCATCGGAACACACCTTACCTATTTGCACGCTGCTCGGAAAGGCTCCCATGGCGAGTCCCCAAAATCCAGAAAATAACAAGACAATCTGTCTGCAAATAATCCTCATCTTCTTTTCTCCTCTCCCTGGCGAGCGCTCTCTCTCTTTCTCTCGCACTCTTCCTAAAGGCTGTTCAGAGAAGCATTGAAGACGATGGCGCTAAAATTAAAATCAACCAAAAAAAAAAAAAAAAAAAAGAAGAAAGAAAAAAAGGAAAGAGGTTTCGGTGGTTTAAGATTATGACTATTTCCCCTTAGCAATCCATCGCGAGCCGCCAGATTTTTCCCGCAGTCTCCATAGCCCTGGGAGAGGTTTTCTGTCCGGCTGCAAATGTTGCACATGCAAAAGATGGTGGTGGAGCGTCTAGTGGCTGCTCGCAGGGATGAGACATGCGCTCTATCTTTGCCTCACTCGCACTCGCGCTCGCCCCTTGCTTTCTCACATACACACAAACACTGGCGCCGCGGCCGCCGCACGCGGTCCCCAGCTCGCACCAGCCGACATCCCCCCAAGCCTGCACCAGCCCGGAGCAACGCTGCCCTCCTGGCGTCCCCTCCCCGAGCGCGCACTCCCTCCGCACGCCCCTCGCCCACCACTCGGCTGGCTTCACCCCCTGGGTGCTCACCGGAGCGCCCCAGTCTCCCCGACACTCCGGAGCCAGTCAGGAGACAGGTTTTCCCTTCTCACCACTCGCTGACTCCCTCCTCTTTTCTTCCTCTGTTAGCAGAGGGACCGACTCTGGGGATCGGCACCCCCAGCGCCCCTCTCTTGGTTTTCCTGGCACCTCTGCTTCCCGGCTGCGCTAGGCAGAAAATTGGCCCACGGGCCAGGTCTGCAAGCCCCAATCGGGGGCTCCGGGGGATTAGTACCTCCCCATGCCCCCGGGCCCCTGCCGCATCCTTGCAGGTTCGCGAGGAGGACGGGCTGCCTCCCTCTCCTATAGTCCTGGCTTCCCTCTCAGCCTAGCCCTCTTCTGCCACTGGGCTGCGCGCGGGGGACTCCGGTCCTCGCTGCAGCAAAGATTTCTCACCAGCAAACAGCCCGGGAATCTGGAGAGCCTGACAAGGGAATGGATGAGGTGAAAGGGTTCAGCGAGGGATGGGAGGAGAAAAGACAAGCAAAGGGCAGCCCCGGGCGGGTTTAAGAGGCCAGGACCAAGAGAAAAGAATTGGAGGAGGTAAAGATGAGGAAGAGAGCCAGAGAAGTTGAAACATCCTGGGAAGGGGAGGAGGGGGTAAAAGGTTAATTTAAATAACTGACAAAGTTTAGGGTCCTGAACGGGATGGGGGAAAGACTGAGAAATGAAAATTGAAAGAGGCCTCTAACATTCTGTTTGAAAGGCGTGAAGCAGAAATAGGAATCAGAACTGTGTGAAGTATAAAGTAGGAAAAGTGCCCCGATTGCTTTCTACCCAGTCACCTATTCCGGAGGACCCTTTCTTTCTGTGCTGTGGTCCATGGCAGCAGAAGGAGGGACACAGCTAAAGGCTGATGAAGGACCAGAAGGGCAGTGCTTGGGGTGGTGGACACAGGTGTCTGACAGGAAGATAGTGTTTTTCGTGCACATCTCCTCTTGTCTGGGACTCTGGAATGCTCACTCTGCTCCACGCCACCTCCAGGTAGACTTAAGCACTTCATTGATGATGTCAATAGTTGTTTTGACTGCGTAGAAGTGAAAATGAATTATCCTAGAAAGTTTTGGGATTACAGTCTCACTTCCTCTCCAGAGTCACCTTTAAGATTCTCCTTTCATCTGGCTGCCTTGGACTGAGCTTGTGCCACACTCAGAAGCAGTCACTGTGGTAGCCGTAAGTGAACAGTTTCTGATTTCCTCTGCATGGTTTGAGATTTCCTGATCTAGTTACTAAATATAATCTCCTGTTCCAAAAAAACTGTGTGAGAGAATCATTAGAAGGATAGGTTCTCCTTAAAAGTTAGGGAACTTAGGGTGACGTCTGCCATTAAATTTTTTAAAAGAATATAGCAATTGCCTAGGTTTGCCTGATATAATATTTGAGAATACAATGCTTAAAGTTGAATTCTTGCAAGGGACTTGCAGAAAGTCTGGTAACGGCTTTTTGAAATATGCATTACCTCAACTCCTTCAAGATTTTTTATTTGATATCACTGATTACCTGAATTTGTAGTTTATAGATGATATTTTAAAATCCCTGCTAAAACTTGAGTGCTTTTCTATTTCCTAAGTTTTGCATTTTATTTTTAAAATCACATCTTTAAAAAAAAGTGTCTGATTTACCATTACATTTCACCACAGATTGTTATGAAAAAAAAAAAAAACCTACCCGTAACTGTATTTTACAAATCATACATTTGTCGTTTTAGTTTGTGAAGTTTTAGTCTTGCAAGTCAAGTGAGATTTGAAGCATTTTTCCTTTTTTAATTTGTCTGTGTTAAAAAACAAGGCTGTAAATAATAGCATTCTGTTTTCTCTTGTAAAAGGATAATAGAGTATGACACATAAAATTCAAGTTAAATTAAAATTTCAAAATCCACCAAACTCATCACTTGCTTGGGTAACTAGTGAAGCTCTTCCTGATCCAGAGGCAATTATTAACTTTAATTCTTCTCAAAATTGAAAGATTTGAGTTTTCATATGATGTAATAGCATCATTGATGCAGATGCAGGACAAGTTCTCCCCCCGCCCCCCTCCACTTAACAGTCATGATAACACCTGGACTAATATAACACAGAGGACACAACTATATTTTTCCAAAATAGTAACCCAGTTGTTTTTAATTTCTATTTTCCCAAGTAGTTAAAACCTCTATTTTCCTTTCTAAACCTAAACTCTCTTTATCTGAATTGTACACATATATATTTATTAATATATGTATCAAATATATTTTATCAGTATGATACATAGAAATACATCATATATACATGTATTATATACCTATGTACATGTACACAGATGTACATATATGTCAAATAGTTACATATGAAGCACCTATGATGTGTATTTATTCTCCAAGTGTCTGAGATATACAGTTGAACAAAACAAAATCCCTGAGATTCTTAGAAGACTCCTAATGTTCATGAACGCTCACTAATGTGAAAGGTATTGTGCTAAAGCCATACCTATATCACCTGATCTATAAAAAACTTTAGGTTTCCTTGCATTTGTTAGGAAACCCAACTAAAGATTTAGATTCTTTCTCAAGATTATATTCTTGGTAAGTGATGAAACCATAACTAAGGATGGGACTCAAGTTGTCTGATTTCAGAGACTGGGCTATCTTTATTAACACCTACCGAGTTAATGAGTTTAAGGTGTGATGAGGGGTCAGGGAGGTGAAAAGGAAAGTGCAGGAATCCATAGCATTCAGAAAGGTAATGTGTTCTACCTGAAAGACCTCAGGCTTTCAGAATAATAATTAGTTACTAGTTTCAGATTACAGGCCCTCAATTTCTTAGCTGTATTGTCTTGGATACATTACTTAACATTTCTTTTCTGACAGGATAGATGCAAACTTTCAACACAGTTCTGGCACATAACTGGCAACTCTTGTCAATACTGAGTTGCCCCCCAAAATGTGATAAAGGCTCCTATAGAGGGAGGTGCAGAGTGCCATGTGAGCAAAATAGAGTGTCTAACTCTGACTTGGAGGGAATTCAGGGAAAACTCACAGAGATTGAAAAAAAAATGAACTGAATTACTCTGTGTTTGTAGGGATTATCAGGTGGAGAAAAATTATGTCTTTCTGAACACTGCTAAAAGCTTGGTAAAACTAGACTTCAGGTTATATGAAGGGAAGTAGTGGAAGTGCAGCTGGAAAGCAAAGCAAGAGATGGTTCTGTACCATCTCACTCAGAAGTATTTTCTTCATCTCACAGAAACAGAGAAACAATGAATGGTTATAAGCAAGGGGGCAAAATGACCAGATTTGCATTTTAGATCAGAAATCTGATGCTAGGAAACCAAACCATATTTTTTTAAAATAAACCTTTCATTTGGAATAACTTTTATTTACATCAGTGTTTCTAATTACGGAGATTTCCCCTGTACCCTTCACCCAATTTCAGTTTTCCATAATGTTATCATCTTACATTATTCTGGTACATTTGTCAAAAATAAGAAACTGACACAGATATGTCACTATTAATTAAACACCAGACTTTATTTAGAGTTTTAGCAGTTTTTCCATTAGCGTATTTTTCTGTGCCTGGATCCAGCTCAGGACAACTCATTATATTTAGTTGTCATAGCTCCTTGTTCTGTTCTGTGACAGTTTCATCTTTGTTTTTCATATGATGTCAACAGCTTGATGAGTACTAGTGTTTGTAGAATGTCTCTCAATTGGGATTTGCTTGATACTTTTCTCAGGGTCAGACTGTGGTTATGGATTTTCAGAAAGAGTACCATACAGGTGAAATGCTCTTCTCAACACATCATACAATGGAATCCATGATTTCCCCTGACATCACTGGTGACATTAACCTTCATCAGTTGGTTAAAGTGTTTTTGCACATTTTATCCACTCTAAATTAACTGTTTGTTTGTTTTCATTCCATACTGTATTCCTTGGAAGTGAGTAACTAAGTATATCCTACTCTCCATGAGGGGAGAGTATCTACATAAATTACTTGAAATTTTTGTATTGAAGCATTGTCTTTCCTCTCCCATTTTAAAAAACTTACTCATTAATTTAAATCAGTGTGGACACATGTATATTTATGTATTTATATTGTTTTTTAACATTTAAGCACAGGGATACATGTGCAGGTTTATTACATAGGTAAATTTGAGTCACGGGGGTTTGTTGGACAGATCATTTTATCACCCAGGTATTAAGCCTACTACTCATTCGTTGTTTTTCCTGATACTCTCCCTTCTCACACCCTCCACCCTCCAAATGGCACCAGTGTGTGTTGTTCCTCTCTGTGTGTCTATGGGTTCTCATCACTTGGTTTACCGTTCCTGTGTTAGATTGCTAAGGATCATGGTCTCCAACCCCATCCATGTTCCTGCTACGGACATGATCTTGTTCTTTTTTTATGGCTGCATAGTATTCCATGGTGTATATGTATCACATTTTCTTTATCCAGTCTATCATCGATGGGAATTTAGGTTTATTTTATACTTTGGGTTATATAGTCTGATACTATGCTATTTGTTATTTATTGTGCTGCTCAAGTTGGTCCAGCATTGGACATTGGGAGCTATTGATATGAGTCCATCCTTTTGTTTTCTGATCATTTCCATGCTTATTGTCACTACAGGAAGCTCTCTATACATTATCTTTTGTATTCCTTGCCCTAGCCTTAGTATAAGCCTTTTCAATAAGGAGTCCTGATTCTTTTCATTGCAGAATGGTATTTAAAAACCAAGATCTGGCAATGGGCTTGCTATTACTGAGTTATCATTGCTTCCAGATTCTCACATAGGAGAGTATATATATATACATATATAACCGATGTTGGTGTACATACCTATAATTGTTTCTCTATCTATCTATGTATTAAGTTAAAATTGAGCTGTTACTGATGTTTGCAACTCAAATTCAGTACTAAAGGATTCATTCTAATCTCCCTTCTTGCTGATCCATACCTTACTTCTCCAACATTAAGAAACCTAGCTCCCACAATCGAGTTAAACATGTTTATCTATGATATTAAACCTAAACTTAAGTTCTCCAAAAACAATTGAATTTTTGCGTACTATATTTTTGTTTTCAGCTACTGATGATTACTGAAAACCCGTGTCTATTATTGTTAGTTATTTGTATTCCTGGGAAACATCGAATTTTACAAACATTAGTATAAATACATGGCATTGTTTGTGATATTCTGTCCTAAAAGAAGTGAGTATATTATTCAAATGACTACCAACAATTTAATAAATTTATTTGTGTATTTATTAGCTTAATGATTTCTTTGCAAAACCTAGTTCTTTCAGTGTCTATATATTTTTCTCCAATTAAGCTGATACTTTCCAATTTTCATATATTTTGCTGCTGTCA